ATGTTGTGGTCAAGCTGCAACATTTTTGTTTCTTCCTTCACGACATGACGGACAGCACTCTGCCACGCTTCAGACGTTACTAGCTGTATGGAATTCTCCAGCAAAGCCTTGACGTCTGGTAATTTGAAAGTTGTGTGTTATGGCGCGTAATATAACCCTTCAATTGAGTCCAGCTGAGCTCTATTGGGTTCAGTTCACAATGGTAGGGCGGTAAACGCAGCACAGTGACACCACAATGACGGGCCATCTCATTAATCACGTAACTAATGGTCGCAGGTTTGTGATGTTTAATTGTTCCGTACAGTTCCGCTTTCACACATGAATCGTCAAACGGAATGCTCTTTTCGCGCAACTGCTGCATCTCACTTTTTCGAGACCCCATATTTGGTACACGTTCGGCTCGACGACAGTCTTAGGAAGCATTATCCATGACGATCACAGAGTTGGGTTCAACTCGCTACGTGTCTTGTCTGGTTATCGTTCTGGTTGTTGGTTTACTTTCTTATTGATGTATCATTTGCTCCTATTATGACGGGTATCAAGGTATGGAATATGGAGACTTCTTATTATAGCACCGATCGGACAAATAATCGAGACGCGAGCCATTCATTATTGTTCTACATGTTAATGAGTTCATAATGGTATTCATGTATGTTGGAGGTGGTAATAAAGTCCTTATACATACTTTTTATTATTACTCCGAATGGACAAATAATCAAGAAAAGACCTGCTGTCAATCTTGTTCTAAACATTAATAGCTATAATACATAACAAGAATGATGAAACTAATGTAGACATGTGGCGCTTGTCATTATCCTTTGTCTGATCGGATCACCAAAAATCTCAAGTAGTATAGATTTTTGTGTTACATATTTTTTTTAAGGCTGGAAATGGAGTTTTTGTCCGCAATACAGTTAAAATACGTTTTTAGTATAACCCGTTTTGCCACGTAAGAACTAGTTTTGACTAAAGTGTATTTACACCCAAGATATACTAAGTGACATATAAATCCGAACACCCAGTTTAATTGGTTTTATTTTAATAAAAGTCGGTGAATGTATTTATCTTACCGTAAATAACAAGTGAAAAAAATTTCAGTCTTATCAGTTGGACATTCCGGTTTTTATACTGCTTTTTTTTTAATTCACTAACGCTCTAAAAATGAATATTTCAGCCGCAGTAAAGAATCAACGTTGGCGGATTTTGGTTCTTGACATCCTTTACGATCGGTTACGATGCCTAGAGTACGGAGACCTGTACGATTTCGTCAACTTAGTGAGTTTGATATGGGCCGTATAGTGGGACTTCGGGAAGCTAGACTTTCTTTTCGGGCAATTGCAGTTAGAGTGCAAAGAAGTGTAGACACTGTGGTTAGGTGTTGTCAGACATGGCTTCGAGAAGGCCGTACGCAAAGAGCAAGGGGCACTGGATGCCGCCGTAGAACAACAGACCGTGAAGATCGCCGCCTAAGATTATTGGCCTTGAGGGACCGTTTCTCTACTACCAGGTCCATTGCAAATGAATGGTTTGCAGAACACGGAAGACCTATTGGCATGCGAAGTGTTTACCGACGAATGAGAAGCTTTGGCTTGTTTTCATACCGGCCACACTGGGTCCTCCCTTTAACTCGAGAACACCGACGTAATCGCTTTGAGTGGTGCAGACAACGGTCACTCTGGGATCAGGAATGGAACAGTATTGTCTTTAGTGACGAGTCTCGATTTTGTTTAGGCATGCACGATGGTCGTGCCAGGGTTAGAAAGCGACGTGGTGAAAGGAGGAATCCACAGTTTTTTGTTGAAAGACATGTTCATCACACTGTTTTAGTTATGGTTTGGGGTGCTATAGCTTATGGTTCCAAGGTCACCTTTAATCTTCATCAGAGGTAACATGAACGCGCAGCGTTATATCCACGAAGTTCTAGAACCCCATCTTTTACCCTATCTTGACACCCTGGCAGATCCAACTTTCCAACAAGATAATGCCCGACCACATGTTGCAAGTGTCACAATAGACTTCTTTCAACATAATGATGTCACATTGTTACCATGGCCACCAAGATCTCCAGACTTATCCCCAATTGAGCACGTGTGGGATATGATGGGTAGGAGGTTGCTCAATTTGCAACGTCCTCCTCAGACTCTAGAAGCACTTCGAGAGGAGATAGTGGTTGCCTGGAATGAGATACCACAGGATGACATTGACTACCTGATCAGAAGCATGCCTAGGCGCGTTGGAGAATGCGTAGCACATCAGGGTGCATCCACACATTATTAAAGGTCAAAGGGCTTTAAAGCCGTGCAATCATTTTGAAATTTTTATCATTTACTTATTATGCTTCATTAAGTACTTATACAAAAATTTATTAAAATAAAACCATTTAAACTGGGTGTTCGGATTTATATGTCACTTAGTATAGAATGGATGCGTGATTGCCAAAAGCAAGGACGGCGTACAGGGCCGCATTCAGGGCTAACTTCGAATGAGGTACCAACGTGTTGTAAAACAAAGATCACAGTATTTAACAGAAACAGAAACTTAACAAATTACTCAAATACACTTAACAACAACAACAGCAACAACCAAGCAAGGTGAATACGAAAACACGAGCACGCAGTGATACACGCGACGGACGGTGGCCTGAGTGCAACTCTGCCTGCCCTGCCCCTGCCCCGCGCATTATCTTGCCAGGCGACCGCTTGAAATTTAATGGCGAGTTGACCAATAAGAGGCGTTGTCCCCACCTGTTACCGAGAGATCACGCGCTAACTGTTATTATTTACATCTCATCTTGAATTTGGATTCAGTTTATGTGCCTATGTTAAAACTAGAATTTCCTAGATATAACTAGTTTTAACTGACATTCATTTTTAAGGAGCAGTTAAATCATAAGTTAGAACTTCTTTATAGCAATAACAGACAAAAAGGAGAAAATGTAGTGATTTTTTGAAAAAAATGTAAAGTGGCAATATCTCGAAAAGTAGAAAACTTTTATTAAGGCATGTTGATTTTATTCGATTGATCTTGATTTCTGATTCACCCTGTATGCATTTGAGTTTTGAACTTAAACTACAATCCTTCCCAGCAACCCAAACCAAAACCCAAACGGTCTGCTCTTTAGGTTTTGGTTTGGGCCGTAGCACGGCAGGATGCCTGAAATAAAGTTTGATAAAACCCGTTTTACGTAGCTATAACTAGCTTTAACTGACATTCAGTTTTAAGCAGCAGTCAATTCTAGTTCTAACAAAGACACTTAGTCAAAACTAGTTTCATATGGGCAAAACGCGTTATAACTAAAAAGAAGAAGAAGTTGATGCCTCAAAAAAAATGTAATGAAAGGCCTACAGAATTTAAGTTATAAATCTGAGTTTCATTAATAAATTGAAAAATAAATATCTGTATTTTGCGTCCATCGTCGTGATATTAGAATACGCATTAATAATTTATTGTAGCAAATGTTGTACCAAACAAGTGACGAAATTAAAATACCAGGAATTTTTTGTTTCTTCATACTGAGAAGAACGTGTAAATGAGGTTTAATCTGTATCATGGGTGATCTGAATGATGAACGGTCGATTTTTATGAAGTTAAATAAGAAAGTATTTTGCGAGTTTATGTTTTCAGTTATTTATTAATAAATGAATAAGCACAAGGCAGTTAGCCCAACAGGTCCCAGAAGTGCAACATGCAACAGCATGGCGCGTATTACATGAGACTCAACTGTACCCTTATCACTTCCATAGAGTCCAGCCGTTGCTACCTACAGACTACCCAGCCTTGCAAGAAAATGCCCGTTTTACAGCTGATATTTTTACTCGTCAAGGTATAACCAATCTTTATACTACACACGTTTTGTCCTTTGAGAATCCTCACGCAGTGGTCCAGACACCCTTCCAACATCGTTTTTCTTTAAACTTTAAACAGATGGGATGGATAGTCACCACGGATGTGGTTTCTACACGATGGGGCATATCCGCATTTTCGTTTAGAAGCTCGTGGTTTTGCTATACCAGATATGCTGGAGCGGAAGGGGTGAACCAATTGCATGGCCTCCACGGTCTCCCGATCTAAATCTTTTGGACTTCTTTTTATGAAGATACTTGAAAAACGAGGTATACCGTACTCCAGTTCAGAATATTGAAGAATTGCGTGACCGAATCACAGTGGCTGCCGATAATTTGTGCCGTCAGGCACAGCAAGAAGTAGGTGTATTTGAATTAGTGCGCCGAAATTGGATTAGACGCGCCCAATCTTGCATTGCAGTCAATGGAAACCATTATGAACAGCTTTTATAAGTAAGTGAACTGTTAAACTGTATTATTTTATTATCTCGATTTCTGTAGGACTTTATTACCTTTTTTTTTGAGGAAACAACTTCTTTCGTAACAGTGCATATGTGGTTAAAATTTGTCGGATAAGTTGTGAAACACCCTGTAAGTACTGAATAATTCTGAACGTACTATGATTTGGAACTCTGCGCCATAATAACTTCTATTCAGCTAAAAAAGAGCTACCCAATGACACATTACACGTAGCTGTTCGAGGTGGGTACCAGATTCCATACAATCCCTAGCATCATTCTTTAGCTGAAAGTCATTTTCCATAAGGAAATTATTTATAGGGAGCTACACTGTATATTCGACATGCACGAAAACATTCATGTCCCGCTCCAAACAAAACTTTCCAACTCCGCGCAAAGTTATGATGGTCGAAGTTCAGTTTTGAAACTCTAACATAAACGTCGAATTTATGTGGGGCTATCCTGTATACTCAACATGCACAGAAACATTCACATTTCCGTCCCACGTCAGACAAAATTTCCTATCTCCCCGTGAAGTTGTAAAATCAACGAGGGAGTTCAGTCGAGGCACTAAAAATTGAGTTAACTCTGCACTATAACCCTGTATAGTCGACATGCACACAAACATTCACATTCACGCCCCACGCCAGACAAAACTCCGCGCGAAGTTATGGCCGCAGCGTCGGGAGTTTAGTCGTGGCTCGTCTACATGTCGGACATACACCGGACATCGATATCACCACAACTCCGCCTTTTAAAATAAATATATAACCATATTGATCGGATCGGAAGTTCTACGGAGTAGAGTCGGTGTATTGTTGTATTATCTCGTAGACGCAGTTCGCACCTGTTCGACGGAAGATCGCGGAGTTTCCATCAATCACGACGCGCAAGTTTATCGTACACAAACACGTGGTATTTCTAAAAAATAAAATTTTTATTTCGACTCGACACATATCGCTTGTTTTTGGAGGTTGTAGTTGTAGTATTTTAAGTGCTTATTTAGATGTTGACGATATATAAGATTCTGGATTACCAATTTTGTTTAGTGTCCTACAGTATATTCATAAATATTTGGAAATTTATTTATTGAACATCTTGGTAAAACACACTCTTGAAAATAACATTGTTTAGATATAATTTCTAAAATACATACAGGATTTGCCTAAACATCATGGGAGAAACATTTACTGGGTTACTTTTTTGGATAACAGGGTAAACAACATTTTCAAGAGCAGCAATTTCATGAGAAACAACAAAATATGTTCAAAATAACTAGGTGTTTCCACCTAGAATATAAAACCTTCGTGAGATAAGCCTCCAAACTTTAACTCACTGTGTTTGCGAGAATTTGTCTATGTCTGAGAACATTGGAACCTTGCATTCTACTTGGACCTTACCATGTTAAATGATTTTTATTGATTAAAAACTTCGCTTTGCGCCGTTGCTTTTCGAATATAGAAAGAATAATATAGTCTTAAAACTATTCGGTGAATTTTTGTCCCATGTCTTGGAAACATCTCGTATAGTTGTGTACAATACCTATATCCTATTCTCTATTAATATTAATTAAAGATTTTTGTATGCGAACCTACGAAGTGAGATTAAAGAGTTGGTACGAACATTTTGTTTTTTGCTAGTCAGAGAAAGCCATTTTATGAAAAGTATCGATTGAGGTCACGAAACTTTTTCAAAATTCATATATTTTTCCTCAATTCTTTACAAATAAGAGAACTGCATGAATTCACGATGTAAGATTATGAAGTCTGGATGATCGTCCAGATAGAACAGAGACACTAAAGACTTTATTATGAAGTGTTAAAACTTTGTTTTATGTGATGATTACTTGAAAAATAGTGTAACGAGATGCCTGTCGTGAAAAGGCCAAACCCCAGCAACAAGGGAGGCCTATATGTCCATTCGAGCCCACCCAGAGGTAAGTATGAGCATTTTTAAATAATATACTTAAACTAGATCATTTCCATAATACATCCCAAGCATATAATTATTTTCCATCAGAACGAAATTAACGATTGTTGAATGAAGGCTTGATTTTAAAATTGAAGATCATTAACAAGCTTACAATATTAGTAACAATGGTCTAGAGAATCTCATCACATCCAATTATGTTGGGTAACATCAAAACAGTTTACGCGATTATTTCTTTGTTTTTGATCCTTTTATTTTCGAGACTTTCAAAAATCATGGTCTTGTGACTATGTCATAAACTCGTTCACCATTTCTTACAAATAATAGAGCATTCACCGTATTTCTGACAATTCGATCCACACCAGACTTCGTGTAAATAAAATCGTTACAAGAAGCCGAGCATTGTACCTTTGCAGTTTGGAAAAAGGTGAATATTATAAAAGGCGACTTCTAACAGCTTTTTTTATGTTCTATGCAAATATAGTACTTTCTAAAAGATTGTTAAGATTACTTTTAAATGGATACATTTCCATATACATCATTCTATATTGGCTACTCTTTTCTGAAAAGTAAACTCAAAAGTCGCATGTTTGCAAATGCATATATGTTGGAAAACCTGGATTAACAAGGACATATCAGAAAGTTCCCGGATTAGTAGTAGTAATATTATAATAGTTGTAGTTATTGATCATGTGGATACAGCTGTGTGTACACTGTACATATGACAGGTCAGTTGTTTCTAAAGTATAGTGTATCAAACCGCGATCACAAATCTAGCAACATAACCTTTTACATTGCAGTTACGTATAAATATGCTCTTACATTCCAATAAAAATAATGGCGTCAAGTAGGTTTACTCAGCAATTCCTACGCAGCGCCATCAGTTCATAAAGGAATAAGTTAAACCCTCTGAGGTGAAAATTAGTTGATGTGTGAAATATGGCCAATAGGTGCGTATAATTGCCGCGACTAGGAGCGTATGAATATACTAATAAAAAAAAAAAGAGATATACTCTCACCACCCTCTGATTTTTCACCCATACAATTAAAAAAAAAACATCAGGATCCTCTGAAACGTTCAAAAAAGTTTGAACGATTTTAATTTTTTCCATTTTTGTCTTTTTTCCGCCGTCAGTGGGCCGATTTTCAAAAGCTATTTATCGTCCTTCGCATTATGGTAAATTGTATAAAAATTTCAACCAAATCCGAGTAGTACTTTCCAAGTCATAGACGGGCCAAGGATTAGCAGATAAACAGACAGACCGACTGACAGATCAACAGATAGACCGATGGAAATGAGTGATTCACATGCCATATAACATCCAAACAACATAATATCTCCATTTCAAAATTTTTCACGGTTACAATAGTTCCTTGCCCAGTGGCGAAGTAAAATCCAGTACAATAAAAACAAAACTTCAGTTGAAACAAATCAACACATAAAAGTTTCATAGAAAAATCCAATAGATACAAAAGACAAAATTCGATAGAATTCAATAAGAAGTAGGTGTTAAAAAACGGGCAAGAGTAGTATTAAAATAAGTGAAAATCGTATATAATAAAATAAAAAAAAAAAAATACGCAAAATACGCTTTTTCAAAAGGAAGTGACTTATTATAATTTTAGAATTCATAAAATGCACTTTCCAATAGAAATAATTTGATTATTGAATTAAATATATGTATATAATTAAGCAAACAGCTTTATCATATGGAGAGCGTTTAAAATGGCTTGTGCTATGCCGTTGTATATATGGGCGTTTACCATTTCTGGTGTTGTATTCATGAACTGTCCTAAATTGTCAAAGAGATGCATACATTTTCTTATAAATAAAACACATGGCACAGTTAGTTTTGGCCTTTGAGTTACCCACGCAAATACTCGTATATTACAACTGATGCGAGATAATAAGCCAACGCATAGTATACATACAAAAGCCATTCTTTATCCAATATACCCTTTACTGTAGTACGGCCTAAAACGCATTGTTTAAATCGTTGCAAACATGAGTAATATGTAGTAGTAATAGTAAAAATTCGAATTGGCATCAAAATATGCACCGAAAAGTTTGGTGGACTCAACAATTTCATATCCATGCGATGTGAGAAAGTTGCTAGTTGCTGCCTTTGCATTGTGTATCCACTGAACTCATCCAAAACTAGTGCTACAGTGTCTTGCAGTTCCTCAAGAGTCTGTCCTCTAACCGTTATGGTGGTGTTGTCTGCAAACATAGTCACTCAATCTCATGATATATACACAGGGAGATCCTTAACAAAAGGTAAAAAGATTAAGGTCCGAGGACAGCTCCTTGTGAAACGCCTAGACTTAGGTCTGTAACTACTGACCTCGTATATCCTATTTTACTTGTAACTTCCTTTGACTCTTGTAAGGCATTATCCACTTTAATGAGATACAATTGTTAAGACCTTCTGTTCAATGAAATAACAAATTTTTTGATAGATATGTGTTTCCAAAAAATTTACCATACTGCTAATAAGTCAAATATGGCGGTAGTGATCCAGATGTTCGCTACTGCCTTTCTTCAGGATTGATACCACTGTAGCTAGCTTCAAAATTTCTGGGAAACAACCATTTTCTGTCGATTTATTGAATTGTATAGCCAACTGGTCTGTTGTTTTATTTTCAATCACCTCTATGATGTTTAATGACATACCATCAAATCCAGAAAAGTACTTATTTTTTATGACTTTGGTTAATCCCTTAATTTGTTCTAATGTTACTGGAGCAATAAGCAATGAGTTAACATAGGATTCTGAATGACAGAGATAATGATAATCATAATAATAAAATCTTTATTCCAACGGGGTACACCGAACCATAGGAACAATACAACTAGAACTAATATAGCAAAGAAATCGGACATATACATATATGTGTTATTAAACGCAATAAAGTGAATACAAAATAAACGTAGAGATGAAATATAAAAAAGGTAGAATTTAGCGGAACATTATATATGGCTCATAGTTACTCTATAATACACGGATAATAAAAACGGATAAATACCAACTACACCTTGCAGTACACACCTCAATGTCCCATCACAGCATAAGTACGTCTAAGATTGGCCAGAATTACGTGGCTCTGGAATATTTCCGCAATAATGAGTAATTATAATAGGCATACTCACGAGACAGATTTCTTGTAGCTGATTTATTTTACGATTTAATTTTGAGCAAACGATTCTAAGATCTTACAAAAGGTCAAGACATTTGTAACAATCATATTAACATTGATTAGCGTATTCTCCAACAATCTGTCAAACCATCGACCGTATTCGGACGTTCACCCACAATTTCCATCGTGACAGCCATATTTCAAAGCAGCATATCGTCAGCCCAAGTTGAATCTCTCCGTTAAAATGGGCCAAGTTTGTATGTTTGAGGAGCGGTGAAGTTTAGAAAAAGTCAACTGGTAAGATATGATTTCGGGAATATGCGCCTATTCCAGAGAATAATGACTAATGGCAATTAAATTCGATCAATTAATAAAAATCCGGTTTATTATCCTTAAAAAATACAAGAAGAATACAAAATCGTGCAAATTACGAGATAGAAACCCACGAAAGGCATAGCTTTGTACGTGGCGAGGTACAATTAGTATCTAATTTGAACTAAGATCATTCAATTCATGATACGTAACGTAAAAACTTAAATCATAAAACGTTTAAATCAATATTTATAACTGATAAAACAATGGTCATAATTCTCATAACTGGTCATTACCCTCACAAGACCGAGCTAAGTATTTATTTTTTCTTGGCGATTGTTTAGCCATTAACCCGATTTTTCTTTGTCAACGACCTCTGCAGGCGATGAAACAATTTTCTTTAAAAAACAACCACTCCCTCTAAGACTTTCACATCGTCGCGCCTTAGACCTCTCCCACATTTTTTTTTCACGGAGTCAAGGTCCCCTTTCCTCTCTTGATAAATCACCTAGAGCCTATCCTAATGTCTGAGCAAAAATGAGCGTGGCTCTCCCCAAATTCACTCCCTGTCATCAGTTATCTGATGTTCGCGCGACGACTCACTTTTTGAGGAAGAAGGATAGTCCTGATATCTAAGCCATGGGCGAGGATAAAAAATGACGCAAGGGGGAGAAATATTTTTGGTTTTTGTGCTCCTGTAGGCTCCTCGGAAACTTACCAAATATTTATGTATGGCATTAAATAGGAGTTTATAGCCATGATATGCAAATTGTAACTCAACGTGCGAGACGCCGCGAGCTTTCCATGCCAAGGGAAATAAACACTTATTACATAGGACACTCTTAAATAAAATTATCTACGACCGGTTAAAAATTCAGAGCATCTTTCAAGCAGAATTAAAAAATAATTTTACCGTATTTTTGACATCGGTAATTGCGCCGCCTAGCAACAAATAAATGAAGTCAGTTTTCTTGGCCGCCATATTGTGCTCAGCATAAATTAATTTATAATAATAATAATTTATTCGTGTTTGCACACAGAAGTGCTTAAACACGTCGTGAAAATTTTCAGCATTTGAGCAATAAAAGGCAATACAAAAAAAACAACACCTACACTTAGAAAAAAGAAAAGAAGCAAAATTGAAAACAAACAAAAATTAATAAAAACCAAACATTAAATATCTTTCCTCAGTTTGTTTAAAAAGGGTTGGGTTGAGTGTTTTACAAAACCTGCGCAGAACATTAAAGAATTTTACATCGAAACAATTGCTTCTGTCTCTGGTTTTATTGAACTTTTTCTTATATTTGTGAATCTCTTTTGGAGTTCTGTAAACATCATAATTATTTTTAAAGTATCAGACAGTCCAGTATGCATATATACCGGGTGTTCCTAGCAGGTGGCTCACCACTATATTTTTTTTTATTTTTTACAATACCAAAATGAAATTTAGTATGTTTATATACCACATAAATATGCACTGTTTGAAGTATTCAATTGTTTACACTCACTTCCGGTTTAGCTGGAAATGACTTTAGGTTTGTTATTTTAAATGGGACA